GGCTGAACCCTCTGCTGCCGCTGCTGTGCTGTCCTACGTCAGGGGCAGACTCTGGGTTTGTGACCCCTTCCAGCCCGCTGTGGAGCTCAGCTCTCCCACTTGCTAGCTACACGGTGTTGGTTGTGACAATTCACGTGCTCCTTCATTCCACAGGGCTTGTTAAGCCTCTGCCATGTGCCGTGTGCTGTGCTGGGCCCGGGACAGACCAGAGACCAGCCTGACAAGGTCCCCACCAGTGGGGCCCACATTTTAGTGAAAGGAAATACACAATAAACAAGTAAACAAGCTACAATCTGTCAGATCTGATAAATGCTATGAGAAAATAAAGCAGGAGGATGGCGGGGCCTGCCCAGTGGAGCAGCAAAGTGCGCACATTCCATTTCCACGGCCCACGGTTCACTGGTTTGGATCCCGGGTGCAGATCTATGCACTGCTTGTCAAGCCATGCTATGGCAGGCGTCCCACATATAAAGTAGAGGAAGATGGGCATGGATGTGAGCTCAGGGCTAATCTTCCTCACCAAAAAAAAAAAAAAAAAAGGCAGGAATACGGCATAGGGAGCAGCCAGGCCCGGAAGGCCTCTCTGAGTCTCTGAGGAGGCAGCATGTAAAGTGAGCTGGAAGACCAGAAGGAGCTCCATCCAGCGATGCTGAACAGCCCTCTGCAGGCGAATGCCAAGGTCCTAAGGGGAGAATGGGCTCTACTTGTCTTAGGGACTGGAAAAAGGACCAAGTGCCTTGAGAGAGGGATACGAGATGAGGTTCAGAAGTAACAGGAGCCAGAGAAAGTAGGACCTCTTAGGCCCATGTCACTGAATTTTACTCTAAATAGGATAGAAAGCCATTGGGTGATTTTAAGTAAAAAAGAGAAGCTGAACTCTTTGAAAACAAATAGATTTTAAAATGGATTCAAAAGACCCAAGAAACTATAAATATTGTGTCGTTCCTTGTGTGGAACGGTTAAGAGAGGGCATCCCAAAGAATAAGCTGGCAGAACTCAGAAGATAAATGAAGATAATAATAAAACTCAAATTGCAGAAATGAACACCACATTGGAAACAAAAGAAATAGAACAGATTCTGCTGAAAACATATGAGGACAGTGAGCAGGCCTGAGGAAATTTTGACTGAATAAGGATATACAAGTGGTAAGAGAAAAGAAGTATGTACGACAAAGCCGTTAGAGAGAAAGACAAAGAATGTAAGGTTGCCTAAGTGGCGTCCTTGAAGATGAGCCAAAAAATATTTAGAAGAAAAATCATTCAAATGTGTATTTGGAGAAAATATTTAAAGAGGTAAAGAGTCTGGAATGTGTAGACTTCAAGGGCATACACACCCCAAGCAGGAACTATGAACGCAGGAACGCCTGGTGACGTCTTGTAATCTTAAACTAAAGACTCCTATGAGATTGCAAGCAGAAAAAGCAAGATATCTACAGGACAGGCTAGCCTCAGGCCAGGCTATTTTTCACAGCAACGTGCAACCCCAGAAGCCCTTCGAATAATAGCAGCAGAGTTCAAAGGCAAAAAATTAAAATAAGGATTGAATCATGAATTTAATATCCAACGAAGTTGTCATTTATTGTTAAAGGCACCATAAATATCTTCTCACTCACCTAACGCCTCAGGAAATACGGCACTGATGACCCCTGCCTGAAAGATGCTGTTTGATCATGAAATCCAGCTAAATAAGAGACACACCAAGACAAAGAATTCACGCGTGGTGACATCCATTTAAAAAAATACCGCTCACGGGCGCTGAATCCATTTGAATATATGACTGACACCATGGACTTTCAAACCCTTTAAACATAGCGCTGGGGCCGGAATTCAAGTGCTGCATTTTGACCAGTCCCGTTGGACTGATTTATTTCGAAGGCTCACGGGCTTCAGCCGCCTTAGTGGACAGTCTGGTGACCAAAGGAAGTCTTACGAGGAACAGTGTCTCCTTTGTAGGGCGTGGAACGGGAGGGAACGGAGGCCCCAGATAGAGCAGTCGACTCAGGAGCGTCTTAACAAGCCAGAGGAGTGTGAAATCTTCAAATTTTTCGTTATGTTTAATTTTTTCTGTATGTTCACATATTTGTAATATCAATAAAAATACTCACTTGTTCTCGTATGTAACTCTCTTTGGGTTGTTTACTGCTGTGAAGTGGCTGAGTGTTTGCATTTAGAAAGAGCGTTTTAATCTCTGTTGTCATTGCCGTGGAAATTGACATCCTGTCCCTGTTGTTCCAAGTTCACATCATGGGATGGGGAGAAGCTGTGCGTTCTAGCATCTACCCAGAAGGAAGGAGGGAGCATGGGCCCTAACCGCAGGAAGCCATGAACTTCTATTTTCTCTGAAATGAAATTCTCATTGCGCCTTGAATCCTTTCTTTTTCTCAAATTGCACTAATATATGATGTCGGGCACGTATTAGGCCCTTAAACGTTTGTTTGTAGTACTGTGTTTTAGCATCACTGTTTTCTGGAGAGAGGTCAGAAGTACATGCGTGCGCCGTGGAGTCAGTCCTGCTTTTCACGGGCAGGCAGAGCGCCCCGGCCAAGTCTTCAGATGTTTTGATGCCGTGAATCAGATGACTACATCTTTGAACTAATTTCTTCAACTCACGTCTTCACTTTAGGCAGGTGGTCTAAACCCGTTTCAAATGTACAGCTTTCACCTTCTTGGAAAGCTGCCTTTCTGTGCGATTTTTAGTCTTGAGCTCCCATTTCAGTCTGAGGGACTTAGACGCTAATGCTGTTTCCACAGTAACAAGCCTCACGGTAATCACAGCCCTGGGAATTGAGTTCTCAAGTGTGTGCACAACCCCCTTGACTCCGGGTTCCCAGCATAGACTGCTGGCTCCAAATCCTGCCCACGGGGACCAGGGACGGGCCTGCCTGCTCACCTCTTGACAAGCACTGCTGATGAGCCACAAGTCCACGGCCCACAGGCTGCGGGAACTGAGGAGACGTCCTTGGCCTTGCAAAGAAGTGGGTAAGCAGTGTCCAGTACAACGCCCGGCTCTTGTGGCAGCGTCCACAGCCTTGCAGAGCCGGAGGTAAGCTGTTGGAGAAGAGGACGCCTCTGCTTCTCAGAGCCACCAGGTGGACTGAGTTTTTCTGATCTCCTGGATTTTCTGGGTAGATTCATACAACAAGCTTAAAAGTACAATGTTTTTCTCATTCCAAATCCTACTCGTCCTTCAGGGTTGAGCTTAAGTCTTACTTTTCTGCATTAAATTATGTTGTTAGACATTGGAAACATTTTTAGACTATAGGAAAGTAAGGGGAATAATATAGCAAACAGTTGTGTACCATTAGACGATTTTACTTAATAAGAAAGTATTACTGATGGTGTGAATGTAGCTTTTCTACCCACCTCCAACGTAATTCTCCTGTTCCCTCCACAGAAGCAAGCTGTACCTTATCGTTGGGCAGTTGGGTAGAGTTTTTCAATGGTTCTGCCCATTTCTGGATCTCAGTTCTTTGCAAGGAGTCCAGTGACCGAGCTCTACGGCCGCCGCCCCCTGCCCCCTCGGGCGTTAGAAGATGCCAAGGTGCCAAAGGCGGCAGGGCTTCACTGGGCCGTTGGACTGGGAGCCCTTACTCCTCGTCTGACCTCCCCAGCCCCATCTGATTGCTGTAGCACTGAGCATCCGGTCCAGCTTCCGACCGCTCGTTCTATACCAGCTTTACGTATAGAGTGTGTCTCATCTCCTGACAAACAGGACATTCTTGAAGCAGCCTCCGTCTCCTTTTCCAGCCACCCAGAAGAAGGTCCTCTGAGAGCTCTTGCGCTGTAGTAGTCTACACTTGGAAGCCAATCTCTTTATCAGAGACGTGTGCCTCCCCTTACAGAATAGCTGATACCACAGCCATCCCGCAGTTATTGATAACCTACTGTGGTCAACTTAGTGAACCAAGCATGATAAAATATAAGATATGCATAAAGATTTGCTTTCCCCCTCCTTGCAAAGTATCTATCTCAAATGATTATGATGCATTTTTGAAAATACACAGTGAATTAGCTCATGGTTTAAGTGTAGTAACAGCACGCATGGGTTAAATTAAGGCTGTATTATTAATTTCGTAACTTGATTTGTGTTTTGGGAATTTTTAAATGTTTGGTTGTCTTTTCCCAAAAGAACCTGAAAACAAAGAGTGTTTGCCCAAACAACTGAATGAGAATTGTTTACCTTATGCCGAATTATCAGTATCACTGGCTTCTTTACCAGCATTTGAAAATGCATTGTTGTACCTCATTCTTGCGCCCACACTGGCAGCGGGTCAGCGCGTGGAGAAATGAGGGGTCTGGTGTTATTGACCTTACACGGCAGCCTCCTCTCCGTGACCACGTGAACACAACTTCAAGGTGGCCTTCAGTGTGCATTACTGAAATGTACTTGGCCACATATTTCATTTTGTCATCTGGACTTAAACCAAGCCAAAATAAACCAACACACATTTCAGTGAAGTTCTTTATGAATTGATCAGTTATTCGCATTATTCATTATAACTAGACAAATTGCATTATTATACAATACACCATCTTTCTTTTCTTTTCTTTTCTTTTTTGAGGATGATTAGCCCTGAGCTAACATCTGCTGCCAATCCTCCTCTTTTTGCTGAGGAACACTGGCCCTGAGCTAATATCCATGCCCTTCTTCCCCCACTTAACACATGGGACACCTGCCACAGCATGGCTTGATAAATGGTGTGTAGGTCTGCACCCAGCGTCCGAACGGGCGAACCCTGGGCCACCGAAGTAGAACATGTGAACTTAACCACTGCGCCACCAGGCAGGCCCCAATACAGCATCTTTTTAACTAACACCATTTAAAATTTCACATAAAATATCTCTGTAACTTTATCTCAATTAAAAATGCAATAAGGCCCCATGAGTGTGAATTTACCAAAGTCACAGAGATTGCTGTGGTCCGTCATCAGTCAGGAACCAAATGTCCTAAAAGCGAAGAATTGCCATAGTTTGGATTTCTTTTTCTCTTTATTTTTCAGACACTGCAAATGGACGTGAACAGGCTGAACGTGACCTTGCTTCAGATATTCCGCCAGGGAGTGGCCGCGGCTCTGGGCGTCTCCCCCCAGCAAGTCCACATCAATCGCCTCATTGTAAGATGCCCACCACGCGCGTTCCCAGAACAAGCTTTGGCCTTCAGTGGTGGGTTCAGGAGTGAAGGGCGCCCTGCTCTGGTTCTGTGGCTCCCAAGCCACTGCTGGCGTCACGCCTGCTTTTGTAGAGGCAGAGTTATTGGAACAAGCTACACCATTGTTTACGTAGCGTCCACAGCTGCTGTCCGGCCACGCGGCCATTGCCGAGTGGCTGCAGCACCTTGTTTGGCTAAACCAAAAGCTAAAACATTTGCTCTCTGACCCTTAACAGAAAAAGTTGGCCAACCCTCTTATAGTTCGAAGCTGGCCACCGGGGAGGTAGGAATAGAGGAGCCCAAATGCCCATCTCACCAACCTGACTCGACTCCCCAGATACTCTCCCTGATGCTGGAACCCCCTGTGTCGGTTGTGCTGTCCCCCAGACAGCGTTAAACCCCTTCCAGTACACCAGCAGGATGAAGGGTCCTGAATGCTCCAGGCGGAGGGTTTTGAATAAAGAAGAACCAGGGCTTGAGGACAGCAGCCCAAACAGAGTGAAGACTAGACAGTCCTAGTGTCAGGGGTCGGGGTGAGGTGAGCCCAGAGGGCCCCCGAGACCCTCTCTCAGTGACCACACCCTTTCCTCCCCGCTCCTCGGTGTCTGGGAACCTTGATGTCATCCCCGTGTGTTCCCCCTGCACTCGGAGGCGGGTCGGGTGAAGGCACCCAGGCAGATTCGAATAACATGGTTTTCTCTCTGTGAAAAGTGAGTCACCTGAGATGCCTGTGAAACGAGACTGTGGCATCAGCTCACAGTCATAAATTGTCCATAACGTCCTGTGCCCTGGGCACTCAGGCAGGGCCTGCAGGTCCTCACTCCTCACGTCCTGCCCTCCTGCTTGAGCTCCGCAGCCATTGCCTCAGCGTCTGCAGGTCCAGCTGTGGGGAGAATTCACTTCTCCTTTTGGTTTACAGTGTTTCTTTCTTTTCTGTGTGGAAGGTGAGTTGTTTCAGTCCCCATCATAACTTTTATTCTGTGAGTCAACTATTTCTGGGACTAAATGAGCTTAAAAAAACAAAGCTGTTAGCTCAGTCGCACGAAGGAGAAAATAGAGCATTCCCCGAGGTCCTGAAAGAATGAAACAGACTTTCCATCAGGCACACGCTGCTCCAGGCAGAGGACAAGGGAGAGTGGTGTCTGGATCGAGGTCTTTTACACATGCTTGGAGTCCTCAACAAACCTTCGTGCGTGTAGGTTTAGTGACATAATGGCTGTTTGCAGAGAAGAAAGAGGGGTTTCCACACCCGGCAGAAGTTGGGGACATTTCCGCACGTCTGGGTCCAGGAAAATGTGTAATAATCAGGAGAGTTAGGATGCCTGAGGCGGCACAGCACGTGCCTGGAGACAGACAGACAGACAGGCAGACCGCACCCCACCCCCAGCTTGGCCGTGGGCTGGCTGTGCGGCCTTAGGAAACTGTTTACGTTTTTTCGTTTGCAAAGTGGAGATGCATCTGAGGCCCGAGCCCCGGAGGCGTGCGGGGCATTGAGTCGGCTGACGGGTTTAGGGTGTGTAGGAGCGTGTGGGGCAGGACACGGGGCTCTGTTCCCACGTTGCTGTTATTGGTGGTAAGCGTGTTTCATGTCAGCATTGTGCCATACTTAGTCCTCGTCTGTTGTTCCCGGAAACACGGAACCGTTTTGTCTGGATTGCTAGGCGTGTGTTGGTATCCCACTTTATACCTGGCTGACCTTCTGGGTGAATTGCATTAAAAGAAGATTTTCCAGCAGGAGAGAACTCCATGTACCAAAAGAAAAGCTAACAATGCCCTTCTCTAAGTGCGTTGTGTGAGTTGCAAGGAGACTGTCAATGGCATGTCCTCTTCGTGTGGGGTTTGTTGTGTGTGTACGTGGCGTGTTAGCCACTTACGGTAGAAATCCCCTGTCTCCGTCTCAGCTGGCGAGGTCACACTGCTAGGAAGCTGTCGTGATTTTCCTGCGTGACACGTGCGTTTCCTCCCGAGGGTAGAGTTGAAAGTGTGACATCTGAGGGAGCATCTGAACAATATATTTCGAAAATTACAGTATGAAATGGAAAATAAACCAGCATCAAATGAAATATAAAACTGAAATCTCGAGGTGTAGACTAGTTGAAAGACGGCCGGTGGAAGATTTCGGCTTTGGGCTGTGATGTCAAGTGTCCCAGAGAACAGGTAATAACTGATCTGCCAGATGCCTTTTAGGATTCTGACTTTCTTCAACGTTTCTAGAGGAAAAGTGAAGATATTTCCCAACATTGTTTAAAATGTCTATAACACATACAACTAATCCTCTTTTTCTAGGAAAAGAAGAACACCATTGAACTGTTTGTGTCCCCCATGAACCGGAAGGCAGGAATTTCCGATGCTTTGCCGTCTGAGGAAGTGCTGCGCTCACTTAATATCAACGTTTTGCATCAAAGTTTATCTCAGTTTGGGATCACAGAAGTCTTGCCTGAGGTATGTGGTTGCCTGGAATATTTTGTTAAAAAATGTCAGCATGTTAACAGCGTGGCGTGGGGACCCAGTCCCACGAGGCCTGGAGATGAAAGCTGTTTATTATGTTATTTGAGAATAAAAATCTCCCGCAGGGTCAGAATTCTCTGATCCTCACACCGCATGTGTTTATTCTTAAGGAAATTCATTTTCACCAAGGTTCTCTTTTTGACCGGTCCTCTCTGAATCTTTATGGCCTTGTGCTCTACCCGACTTCTCCACTGAGTTGTCTAGAAGAAAGGCCGTTTGATATGTTGTCAGACGAATACCTGACGCTGCAGTGTCGGAACCGCCTGGATCTTCCTTCCTCCACACGCGTCCCTCCACTTCCCTGTCAGATGGTCTCAGGGAGTCACCTTTTTCCACAACCTTGGAATTAATTGGAAATGTGCTTTTTCTTTTGCTGAGGAGCCCAATTTAAGAACTACAGATATTTTCTTCATAGTGTTTTCTAAATTTGGCACTTTTAAAATGTCCACACCCCTTCCACCATCCTCACTCCTGAGTGAACTCGGTCCTTTTTACTTCTCCTCCTGCGTCCCACTCTACCGAACTCGCTAGAGTGATCGTCATCCTAAACGTGTGTGATTAGAACCACAGAATCAGAGAATCAGACCTCGAGGGAACATCCGTGAGCATTTACAGATACAGAAAGGAAGGCCTGTAGAAGCTAAGCGGCTTCGTCCAGGTGACATCGCAGGTGACATGTAAAGCAGCATCTAGAGCCTGGAGGCTCACTTCCTGCCTGTTCCCCTTTGAGTAGGGCACACGGCCTCTCGTTTCAGTGGATCTCTGGCTGTGGTGTAAACAGCTTTGGTGCAGGACTGAGGCTGGTCCCTCGTCCAGCACGTGAGATGTGACCTTGGCAGGTCATTCAATCTCGGAGATTAAGTCTGTCTTTGTATAGTTTCAGCCTCTCCGAGCCTCAGTTTCTTCATAACCAAAGTGGGTACAATCCTTATCTTATAGACTTGAAATGTCAATTAAATTTTGAAAATACACATGTGGGGCCGGCCCGGTGGCACAGCGGTTAAGTTCACCTGCTCTGCTTTGGTGGCCCAGGTTTGCTGATTCAGCTCCCGCGTGGGTGCTCCCTTGATGAGCCATGATGCGGTAGGCGTCCCATGTATAAAGTAGAGGAAGATGGGCACGGATGTCAGCTCAGCAAAAAGAGGAGGATTGGTGGTGGATGTTAGCTCAGGGCTAATCTTCCTCCAAATAATTAATTAATTAATTTTAAAAAAAAAAACCTATGTGGAAATCCTCCGTAGAGTGAGCACCGAACAAACATTGTTGGAGGGCAGCATGGATCAGCAGAATGAAAACGCGTTTCATCATTGAACTATGACTGTGACAGCAGCCTGTAGCCAGTCTCCTTGCACTTGGTTCCGCTCCCTCCCTGCCCTCTGCCCCCACACGTGAGCATGCACTCACACACACACATGCGCACACACACGCACGTGCAATCGTTCTACAAGCAAACCTGGGTGCGCCCTCCCAATGTCGTGCTGCTTCTTGGGCTTCCTAAATGGGGCAGAAGCAAGCCTGGATTTCTTAATCTGGTGCACGGTCTGTTGTGCGCTGGGCTTTATAATTGTTGAGCGACACTCTCTGTGTTCTAATAGGGCAAATAAGATACAAGCAGATAAGGACAATGCGGGGCTGTGATAACGTTACCAGTAGCACTACGGGAGCTGTGAGGATGAGGGTCCACCTCCTGCTTCAGGGCGGCCAGCGACGGGGTCATCCTGAGCCTCAGCTCCCTGACGCCTGCCCAGCCCGACCTGCACGTGACTCTGAAGGGTCTCTTTTGTCCATCAAACCAAACCCCATTGCCATGGTCCAGGCCCTTCACAGACTGACTTGCACACGTCTTGCCCACAGCAATTCTTCTTTAAAATTTAAAAAGACCATTGGATTAATTTATTCTGCTTCCCACAAGCTTTCAGGGAGCAATGTAAGCATTCCTCTGTGTGGCTTTATTCTGAGTTTAAATGCCATTGTGAAGGCTTTAGGAATATGGCGGCTCAGAGAGCCATCCAGATTTGAGCACCACAAGAAGCTCACCATCCAAAAAACCTAGTTGAAAAAACTAGGTAAAATGAAGTATTCGGGGTCCTCTGACGCATCCAGGTCGGCGGGGGTAAGGCCCTCAGCCTGACTGCCTGTCACAGAGCCACCAACCCACAGTGGACCCAGGTCTGGACGCCCTTCCTTGAATAGTCAGAGTGTAGCTGATGGTCAAAATGTGATTTTTAAAATGAAATCGTGGGAATCTAGAATCTAGGAAAACGTACATTACAGGAGACTGGGAAGTATTTTAGTTGAATGTGAGGAGCGTGTCCTCAGCAACAGATATGTCCTTGGAGCCTCTGTCCAGGCAGCTCTGGGATGGCCAGCAGGACCCTCTGGCCTGAGCTCCAAGTGCAGACACAGAGAGCAGCTGGCAGGGCGCCGCTTGCGGGGCTCAGACACGCGCGGCCCACGGGCCCTCGTTTGCTGAGAGTCGTTCCTGCCGGTGAGGGTGTTCTGTGCGTCTCCCACTTCTTTATTCATCTTTGTGGCTAATATGTGATAACAGCTTATGTCCCAACCCATTCTCTCACATTTTTATCACCTAATTATAGCTCTGCTATGGGAACATATTTATTAACAAGAAAAAGGAATATTGGTGTTTTGGGGTTTCGCCCTTTGCATGAATTACAGAACATCGAGGATGACGTCTCAGAGCATCTGTTTCTGGACTTACTTTAATTACTTTCAGGGAAAGATGTGTTTTTGTTGTTGCTGTTTCTTTATTTGCTTGATTTCTTTTTAATCGCAATGACTCTTGGGAAGCTAAGAAAAATGCCAAAGAGAGAATTACTTTCATTTATTCATCTGTTTTCATTTCAAATCTAAGTTTCTTGGGAGAAAAAGACATTATTTCTTTTATGTATTTTTATGTGGTACCTAGAACATTGTAGGCACTCAAATGATGTTTTATTATAAGATGCTCATAAAGATAAAACTAGACGTCCTCAGGCCTAATAAGTCAAATCTCAGGGGAAAAAAATTAAGTTTATTATTTCAGTTTCTATTTTTAAATGTTTTTACAAAGTTAATTAAGTACGTATTGAAACAGGTTCTGCACTGATATTGAAAAAATGATTTAGGATTTTGTAGTTGTTGTTCAATTGCAAATTACTCCAGTTTCACAGGTCTTAGATTTCAAAGGAGGAAGTTACTTTCTTTAAAGAACAGGCGAATATATTGACTGATACTTTCATGGAATAGCCACAAAGAGAAAACAGCCAGGCCAAATAAATATAAACCGTAATCCATGAGTTCGATGACTGTTCCTTCAAACCAGGATCATTAGCCAGCAGTCCAAAGAATCATGGTCCTGGCCGTGCACGGCCAAGAGGGAATGCAGTCAATATCAGTGTGTCAGATCACCCAGACCAAACTGTGCACCGTGTGCATAACACAGTGGAAGTTTGGCATTTATCTAACAAAACCATCCTGCTGTGGACACACCCCGCTCATCTGCCTACGTCAGTCAGCTACCCAGATAATTTATGACGTTTCCATATCACCCCGTCCTGTGGGCTCCAGCTTTCCTGGAGCCATGTGTCTCCTGAGCCTCTGCACTGTCTCTCCCAGCCCTCGGGATCATTCCTACCATTTGGGATAACAATTGGTTTAAAAAAACCGAGAAAGTCGTAGTGCATCAAATTATTAAACAGGATATAGAAAAGCCATTGTTATTGATACAAGAAACTGCCCAAATTTTAAATAATAAAACAAAACGAAACCCAGCAGTTTCTTTCACAAAAAAGTTACAGGACAAAGTGATGTAGCTATGAATAAGGCATCAAGGTGACAGGGTGGCATGGGCGTGACTCGGATTACAGGACCCTGGGCACCCAGATAAAATATTAAAGATATCATGTTGACCTTAGGCAAAGGTTAGACTGGAGAGTCCTGTGAATTAAAATCTTTTGACTTGTGGGATCTTAACTACAGACTTTCCCATTTATTACCTGGCCCTTATCAAGTTGCTTAGATCTCTGAACAAATATAGTGGTGCTCAGCAGGAATAGCATGACTCAGAAGGAAATCTGTTTACCAGGAAGGTGCAGTGACTAAGTTCTAGGAGTTCAAAACATGTGTCTTTCTAATGGGGGTTGGGGGTGGGGGTGGGAGGTTAATTCTTCCATCGCCACTGCTTTGGTTAAAAGAGAAAATAAAACAGAAAACAGATTTGTCTTAAAAGAAAGGAGCATGATGACGTCCCAGGGGTGTAGAGCTGTAGCAGGAAGAAAGAATTGAACCAAATCGGGTTAGGAACACAAAATCTCTTCCCGCCCACCTAAACACCCCTTTTTATCCAAATTTTACATGAACTGGAGCTCAGATCCTCATCCTTAAATCTGACACGTTTATGCTGCCTACTTGAAGGCTTAACTAGTTTTCTTTTACAGCAAGCAAGAGGTGTTATTTAGTTGCCTGCAAAAATTCATTTCCATATTTATGCCTGATTTCTACAAGAGTTTTCTTTTCTATGAGTTTCCAGCTCTGTTTATAGAGACATTGGAAGAAAATATGATCTGGCTGAGGTCAAAGAGTAAAAGGCAGGTTGTCACTTGAACCCAAGATTTCCTTTCCAGCAGGACACGTGGTTTCTAATCATTTCGTCAAGCAAGTACTTTCGGATTCTCCATCAAGTTACCACTTCCATATTTTTAAAACATACAGAAATCATTTCTGGCATCCATGAGTTTGTCCATGTCTTAGAAAGTAGGCAAGATGTTATAGTGAGCACATCAGTGTTTTCCAGGCGAAAGAAATGGAAACTCAACTCTTCCAAGCAAGAGGCATCTCCTCCAGCGGTCTTGCAATCACAGTTGAACTCAGAGGCCCTTTCTGTCCTATCTCGCTCAACTCCCCACCAAGACTCGCTTGAGTTCCAGGATCAAAGTTTTCATAAAATATTTTTCAAGGCAAATATTTCTTTTTGTCCACTTTACAAATGTTGAATGTGTTTTATTTTTTTTCAAGAGTCTTCAAAACTGGTTAGCAATGACTTCAAAGTTCAGACACCTACACGGACAGGTTTTTTTCAAGGCTTTTTTCTTTTTTTTTTTGAGACACCTACTGTTTATTTCTCTTGATTCCGTGGGTTAACTAGGATGAGGTGGGTGGTTCTTGTGTCCCTCGTGGTGGAGGCTGAAGTCACTCCAGCGCTCACGTTAAGCTGGAACTAACTCACCCGCCTGGAGTGCCCGTGGCCTCTCAATCTCTGTGTGGCCTTTCACCATTCCGCATCTTGTTGCTCAAGGGTTTCTTAATCCTTGGAGACCACATCCAGGGACAAGCAAGGGCTCTCACCGGGAAGAGGGTGACTCCAGCCACAGGGAATTCTAGACGTGCAGAAGCGTTTCTTAGCCTATATGCCTTTCCTAACTGTGGACCATTTGGTTTCAAGCTAAAGTTTCTTTAACTATAAATCTATAAATTTCACTGAATTATAAAACTTAACTGCATTCGAAGAAGTGATTTAGTGGATGTGCTTTTTTTAAAGAATAGGTGAAAAGAAAACAAATGGGTGAAATAAAACCAAGACACCCATTCACATGTTATTCCTGCTTCTTCTCCAGCTTCCACCCCAAAGAAGCAAGCAAAAAGTAAATAAATATAGGTAAAACTATTTATTTTACCTTTTATTACCAGTAATCTTGGACTTTTTGGTGTTCCCTGCTGCTTTAAATAAAATATAATATCCTAACAATGTAGGTGAGGTGGTACTTTAATCAGATTTTGACAAAGTAGTCTGCATTTAAAAAAAATGATTTGATAAAAGAAAAAGCAGGAAATGACCCCGACATTGTTGCTCTGCTCATGAATGCCCCATGAGATTCTCTTTGCACCTGTTTCACTTTTGCTGGAAAGTTCAGAGCTGAATCGTTCTTGTAAAGCAGGGTGTTGTGCGGTGGGAGGGGCGGAACACGGGTGAGGAGCGCTCCAGAGCAGGTTCCTCAGCACGGAAAGAGCACTCTCTCACCTGTGTTGGGGGAATTTCCAAGAGGCGGTGAGGGGCGAGCTTGCTCCTGACAGGAGATCAGTGTCTCGTGTGTGGGGACAGCACTGCCTCGTCGGGATCGGCTGAGAGCAGCTCGCAGTGGGGGCTGTAGGTGTGTTCTACTCCACTGAATGGAGAAAGCTAGAAGTATGCTTAGAGTCTGATAAGAACGCCAGCATCCTCGAGCTCTCCTTTAACATCGGACTTTCTGTTTTGCTTTTAAAGAAAAATGTTTTACAAGGGCAGCATGAAGCGGACAAAATCTGGAGCAGAGAAGGATTTTATGCTGTTGTCATTTTTCTCAGCATCTTTGTTATTATAGTAACGTGTTTGATGGTAAGTGTGCTTCTTTCTATATTTTCCTCTGCCGAGCCCACTGCTTAATGTTATTTGATGCATTGCCATTCGAATGAACGCCGAAAAGACTGGGGACTCTGATCCTGTTGGATGGGGAATGTTTCATATCTGACAGCAGAGACACAGCTGGAGGAAAACCTGCAGAGCTGTGGACTCTGGGCTGCAGGACGAGCTGTGAGGGGCCGAGGCTTTTAGTGACTTATCAGCCCTGAGGAGGAAAGTCACTGAAGGCCTCGAAGTCACGCAAGTCCCACGGCACACCTTGGGCTTACTCTGTGTCTTCTTTTATATCTTTGGGAACTCAGGAAAAAATTTGAAAAGCAATAGGTCTTAGGGGAAGCTTACTACTTAGAAGGGTTTGATTTCCTTATTTTTAAAGAGCTTGAAAGCATTCTATGAAATTCCAGGCGTGAAAAGGAGACGATTACAGACTCGAAGGCTGAACAATCCCCTACCAGCTGATTTTTAGGTGAATGAATAATATAAAAGCATCCACTCTCTGCAAAGCTCTGAAAATTACAAATTAGAAATGTGTAGCCTTTCAACGTATATTTCTAATTTAAAAAAATAAAACCCAAAACAAACATAAAACCCACTAAAGTAGGCAATGCTACCTGGTGTCGAATGAGCTACCTTTCAAACAGAATGATAGAATTTTCCTGTTCTCTTGAAAATTCTGTGATGTAACCTAAAATATTTGAACTTTACAAATGGGTTTTAATATTTTTTTCTTCTTTACGATGTTCTTTTTAATTTTGCACATTTTTAGAAACTTTCCTTCCTTAGTTTTTACATAGCCCCCCAAAATACATCGTGTTACTTCCTTCCACTGTCAGCAATGGTATCTGTCTGGATTTTGCTCCTTTGTGCTCCCCCTGCTGGGAAGGGGCTTCTGTTAGAGAGAGCAGGGCTCAGTTTGGAAAGACAGGCTGGGTAGGTGTAAACTTGAAGGATGTCAGACAATGAAGGCAGTTAGGAGGGTGAGGATGGCATATTTCCCCGAGTCTGGGCATCGGTGGTGGCCAGCTCCCATCATCGTGAATTCAGAGGCGCCTCCTATGGCCCAAGCATTGAGAAAGAAGATTTCTAAAAATTGTGACACAATAAACAAAAGGATCACTTGAGAACTGAGTAAGAAAATGGATTGTTATATACTGAATGGTGGAGATTCAGAAAAAATGATTTCAGCGAGAGAAAGTTGGAGGTTCTATGGAAACTGTGGCAGAGGCGTCTGGGCTGTCTCAGTGCTTTGGGACGCGACCCTTGTTCTGGTTAATGGCACTTCAGACTACGTGGTTCTTCTTTTCCTTAATTCAGGGAATCTCGATGCCGTTCTCTGTCTCATCCGTCACAGTGAGGGTGTTTTTCTCTTCACAGGTGAAAACAGAGGCTAGGAAGGAGAATATAGAGGCAGAGAGCGATGAGAACGGAGGTTGTGCAGGGTAGATGGTAAGATTCAGAAGAGCGAGGGTGAGGACGGAGGAACGTGGGACGCCGCCCCCGCGCGGCTGTGAGCAGAGGGCAGAGGGAGGCAGGGCCAAGCCAGCCTTCCCGTGGGGATGCGCTCCAGATAAACCCTGCAGGACACACTGTCCCACGCAGGGCCGTGGGGGCCACACCCTCAGCCACTCGGGGGTAGGACAGCTCCTCCTTTCCCAGTATTGGCAAAGCAGCAAGGTGAAAGTCAGAAACCGAGGTGAGTTTTCTCCAAAGTTACTAGAACAAGCTGAGAAGGGAATGTTTCCAAACCTTCGGTGAGTTCCGTCTCCTGGGCTGGTGGGTCGCCTCATCCATTCATTCAGTCCACGGGTTGCTGCCGAGGATCATGTTGGGTCTGTCGTTGTGCTGAGGGCGAAGGAGAGACCGAGAGGATAAGCTCCTGCTCTCAGGAGTCTGCCTTCTAGAGGGGACATAGGCAATAAATATGTTAATGTTTTACAATCAAATCGTGAATGTGCTGTATGGTTCCAAGAGTATGCCATTCAGGAAAAGGCAAAACTACCAAGACAGTGAAGAGGTCAGTGTTGCCAAAGGCTGGGGGCTGGGGGGGGATGAATAGGCGGAGCCCGGCAGATTTTGGGGGCAGAATGACACTGTATCGTCTGGGGAGGAGCAGGAGGGGCATGCAGCACTGGATTCCCTGCTCAGTTTTTCTATGAACCTAAAACTGCTCTTAAAAAATAGAGTCTATTAATTTTTTTAAAAGTTCAAATAAGTGCCATGAAGAGATAACATACTGATGAGTGGGTGGAGCGGAGCAATCTGAGACCCATGAAGACGTGGGGAAGGGCCCCCAGGCAGAGGACGGGGCAGTGGCACAGCTGGGGAGGGGATGAGCTGAGCCTTTGTGGGTTCAGGAAGTGGTGGGAGCTGAGTGGGGCAGAGCTGTGCTGTGACCTGGGGTGTGCGAGACAGTGGAGAGTGGGTGGGGCGGAGCACGAGGCGAGTGTGGGAGCAGAGGACTCTGCTGGAGGCTGCTCTGTAAGCCGATGAGAAAGATGTGGTGGCCTCGAGTCGGAGGGGAGAGAAGGGAAGAGTTCTGCAGGTGGAACTGACGGGCCTTGCTGAGCACTGATTCTCAGGGAGAAGGAGAGAAAGAAATCAAGGCTGACTCCTAGGTTATGTGGCCTAGGGATGGTGCCCCCAACTCCTGGACGTGGGGAGGAGGGAGAGAGAGGCAACACTTCTGATTTGTATTCCAATAGTTCTTGAATAAATAAAAGAAAGAAGTAGAAGGGCATATTTCAAAGCTTATCTTAAATTTTAATATGAAAGAGTCACTTAAAAAAGTAACAGAGGAACCAGCAGTACGTAGAAAGGAGTTAATATTGATAGAAAAATAAATGCTACCTAATAGACAAGACTCAGGTGAATTTAAGTTTATCTGGCGCAACTTAGCCCTGACAGGTCAGCAGTTCACAGTCGGGGCGAGTCAAACGTGACTCTCTAAAATGGGCTCCTACTGTAAACACCCCAATGTTTTTGATAATGACCTTGATTTAAAGCAGGTTTCTTACTCGAGTCTCTCAGGAATAGTAACACTACCACGTCTGTGATTCTCAAACATGTATATTCTGATTCTGTTTCCCATAATTTTGTTGATTCCATGGTAAAGGAAAAGATATAACTCAGAATTTTCCCTATGGTATTAATTATATTTATGAAAGATCAAATAACTGTTATTTGCATCCAGCCTCCCTACATACCATAGAAATGAAAAGCGTGTGGCTTTATTATGCATTTATATTGGTAAATTGCTGTAATGGTGGACTAAGTGTGCTATATAACAATAACATAAGGCTTGGCAAAATTTTTGAAATGTGGCATATTGTTTACTTTCCATAAAATAAAAAAAATTATGTTTCCAGGCATAAAATTAGACATGCATGACATTTTCAAAAGTGAGACTTATTTAGCACCTCTCAAATGTGAATGTAGAGTGGGTAGAGTGACAAATAGATAAATACAATTTTCCAAGAAAAAAATGTGTGGGCAATTTGTAATCCATTCAGTCTGTTTTAGGTGGAGGAAATTTATTACTAAGAAGAATTATTCTTAAACTTGAATAAATAATAGAAAGAAGAGCATTTATCATCTCAATCAGATCTTCAAATGTGCTTAGAGGTTTATTAACAAGCGCAAAGGTATTTATGAAATGTCGGTGGAGATGTCTACAAGCCAGATTGCTTCTGGAAAACGATTTTAGAAAACACATGAAAACAGCTGTTTGGGTCAGTAAAGCTCTGGCGTGTTGGACTCGCAGGAGAGCCATCCATGTGTCAGGCAGTTTCTCTAGTGATGGTCTTGGTGGCTGAGGCAGGAGATCCTGGATCAGACCACCTGCCGCAGCCCGAGCAGTACATGCATGTTGAGGTGGACGGACACAGCACGCTGTTCTGGTTTGTTACGTGTAATCCCTAGGGTTTGAGGGAACCAGGACTAGATCCTAAGCTGGCATGATTTGGTTACAGAACCATGTTCCAAAGTAGGCATGTGTCTCAAACTAATTTTCAATTTTTTTCTGTTTTGGTAAAAACCATTTAGCTAAGGATACAACCCTCTTAATAATAATCAAATAATAATATTAACAATAATAGTTTCTTCCAGTTATGCACACTTACTGGTACTAAATTTACTGCCTGATACTAAACACAATATATTTTTTAAACCACATTATTGACATACAAAAACTGTGCACATTTAATGTATACCACTTGATGACTCCGGAGATAAGATACACCCGGGGAACCATCACCACAATCTATGCCATAAACTTATCTGTCACCTCCAGAAGTTTCCTCTCGCCCCCTTTATTATTAGTATTTTGTGTTGTGATAAGAACATAGCATAAGATCTACTCTCTTAGCAAATTTTTAAGTAAACAGTACAGTATCACTAACTATAGGCTCTAGGCATGAACACTTCATGTGTTTCAGCTTCCTAATTTTAGGAGGAGGAAACCAACATTCAGAGAAGGTAAGTGACTTGACCAGGAACACGCAGTGGGAGGGTATGTTGTGGGGGCTGGTGTCTGAGAGGAGCGGATGAAATTGAAACCCAAGTCTGTCTGGATTGAAGTCCGGGCTGTTTGCCGTGATTCCGTGTGAAGAGGAGTTAAACTCCGGCTCCTTTAGGTCCTATCGCTCTATCTCGTGCACGTCTATTCCTGGCCACAAAGGAGTCCAGTAACAGATGAGAATGCACGTATAAACCAGAGACACCACCCAGGCAGAGCTGATAAAGGGGCGCCATGCCACACCTGCTGTGCAGCCACCTCTGTTTTGCACGCAGTTTCCTGTGCTGGTCACAATTTACACACGCCTGTCTCTTCCGGAAGCCTGTGAGTTCCCAGAAGCCGGGTGGTGTGCTGTTTCTGGAATGCAGTAGCAATTGATTCACGTTTACTCAACTGAAAGGAATGAATGGATGAACTCTTTCAGACTACCTGTGAAGAAGGAGTGTATGGACTGTCAGTTGGTGACATCTTTTTAAAATCTGAACGTATTTTAATCCAAACATATGGTTTTTGGTGTTACCTACTTACGAGATTTTTTTTAATGAAAATTATAAGCTGCAAAGGAGCTTATGGGATTTTTCCAGCATACTCGCACTTCCGTGTTCCTCTGGTTCCCTTCTCCCTGCCATTCTTCTTTCCTCTTGCTGTAGTTTGACTTTTACAGCTCTCTCATTCAGTGTTGCTCTCTCTTTTCCTTTTCAAACCATCAGGTGACTTCATTGCACCCCAAGAGTCAAGCTCTTAAATGGAAAGTCAGGAATATTGACTAGCCATTGCTGTGGTAAGCTTTCAGGGTGAGCTTTGAAACAATGTGCATTCACGTGGAGAAATGTGCATATGCTCGATTCCAGATCTCGATCAGTGCAGAGAAAAGTCTCTGATGCCCTTTTCCAGAGACTTTGGGAAGAGGGTGTGGGATATAGAGGGAACAGTGGAGGTGAGTGATCACAGGTGTAAGTCAGAACCTGGATTCTAGACTTTATTTCTAGCTTTCCACAGATCATTCAACCACTCTGGGATTAAATGTGAAACGAGGAGATTATAGAGGATTTTTAAGATCCCTCATACCAGTTTCTCAATAGCAGCACTGTTGACATTTGGGGCTGGATAGTTCTACTGGGAGGAGAAGGCCCGTCTTGTGCATTATGGGGTGTTTAGCAGCATCCCGAGGGAGAGAACCCCTGCCTACCGATTGTGTCCAAGGCAGCCGCCCTCTTGCCCACCAGTGACCCCTTCAGTTCTTTCCACGTCTTGTCAGATGGCCCAATCTCTCTCCTGAGTGTTTTTGAACAGTGTCTTACACGTGTGATCCGTTCTACATGTTCTGCTTTTCCCTGATTAAAGCCGTAGAATCAGCTTGCACACACACTGCAGAGGCGGATCAAGAAGCTGACCTGTAACCAGGGCTGCCGTCAACAGGGGGCTGGAGAATGTGAGGCAAAGGTTCCTCGTCAGGAACGTCAGCTGGGGGATGGCAAAGAAGGACTTTGGACCAGAGCTGGTTTTACACAAATAAAACCATAAAGGTGTCCTGTCGAGAACTGTCGAGAAGGCAGCACCTTCTTGGCTTTCTCATTTTCATTTTGAAATATGCTTCTCCAGCACCCGGAGGTGACCAGACAGGCAAGGGTTCCGAGATATGTATTATATTTAGGTGTGAGGAACCTAGAATATACAGTACCTACATCATCTTCTGTTAAATGTATGTCTGTAAAAGTACAGATGTATTTTTCTCTTTTCTCACTCAGGAAAATCACTCGCTTGCAATTAAAAAATAAAAAGCTATCTCACCTTAAATTCTCTCACCTCATCCTTTGGTAATTATGTATTCAGCTCAACATACACGTGTCATCTGACTGGTATTGTTCCCGTGTGGGTTTTGACGAGAAGCAGTAAGTTAAAAACCTCCCCATCCTCAGGCCCTGTGACAGGGCGAGGGTGTTCACCCTCAGCGCGGGGGAAAGCAATTAAAATAAGGGTCAGATGACTTCTCAGTGTCAGGCAGCTGCTTCTTCTTGTGCTGTAATATTTGTCACCAATTAGAATAATTAGAACACACTGTGTTCAATAATTTAAGATGGAGCTTTACCCTGCCAGAGTCAACAAATACCACTGGCATAAAGGTTTCTGGGTTATAACCAGAAAAGACAAGGACTCTCTTTAATTCCCCGGCAGTTCAAGGGGCAGCAGGTGTCTCTGGTCGTACCTCATACTCACACAGCCCTTTTCCTCACAGAGAGCCTTCAGTCCGCGAGGATGGGCTCTCAGATCCAGGGGTGCTGAAACCCATCGGTGGGATTTGCCTCTGCTGCAGGTGCCATTCCAGAGTCCGTCTCTAGGACGGTGACGGGGGGCAGTGGACACAACGTCAGGGCCGGGAGGTGAACAGACCCGCAGGTCAGAACCGGGTCAGCCTCGGCGCTGCCATGGCGAGTTGCTGACTCTGGGCGCCCTGCGGTCGTTAGCTGGACCGCAATTTCTTTAATGTGTATTTAGGTCAGAAGACCTCTAGGGACCATTCCAACTCCGGTCCCTGCCATATCCCTCATCAAAAACTCGCCAAGCAGACAGTCACCCCTCCTTCCACCCTGCTGCCCTCCCAGACTTCTTTCTTGTTGGGCTGAGACGGCAGCTGGGATGTTGGACCTGAGACATCACTAAATTTAGTTTTCACTCTGTGTTTAAGTAACCCCAAACTTCCCTTTTATATCACAGTTTCTAGTTCTTCAGTTCTTAATTTTCAGTCATCTTTTTACTCAAAAATTTGAGTAAGCTTTTTGCAGGAAGTGCCCTTATGAATTTGAGAAATTCTTTCTGTTGGCTTCATACACACGAACATCAATTTGTCTAGTTGTGGGATTCATGCATCCTCTGTAATAGGCGTTTTTTCCCCCGAGCCATGAAAATCGCTCCATTTTCTTCTCACATTTACTCTTCTTTCAATTGACGTACATTTTTCTTAAACCAGGAACTTTCCCCTTTCCACACCCCTGAATTCCTAGGAACAGGGTGGTCCGTTCTGTTCATAGCAGCTACTCCCTGCCTCTCAGGACGCCCGAGTGGGCACTCAACAAGAAGTAGTTGTGAGTGGCTCACTTCTCTTCGTTTATCCTGGTTTATCATTTACAGTGACTTCTCTGACTTCCATATCCTATCTTTTCTCCTGTTTTCATCTTCACTTCTTTATTTTTTGCCCTACACTCCAGGAGTCTCCCAACTTCACCATCTGTACAACAATTATGTATCCTGCATTGTCAGTTCTGTTCTTTATTGCTTGCAAAGACGTACACACTGCCACTGAGTTTTCAGTTCTTTGAATTCTTTTCTTTATAATCTCAGCCTGATACCTTTTCATCTTAGATTGTTGCATTTTTATTTCATCCTGATTCTTTGTTATAATCTTATTTTATTAAACAGACTTTTTTTTTTTTTTGGAGGAACATTAGCCCTGAGCTAACTACTGCCAGTCCTCCTCTTTTTCCTGAGGAAGACTGGCCCTGAGCTAACATCCATGCCCATCTTCCTCTATGTTATATGTGGGACGCCTACCGCAGCATGGCGTGCCAAGCGGTGCCATGTCCGCACCCGGGATCCGAACCGGCAAACCTTGGGCCGCCAAGAAACAGAACGTGCGAACTTAACCGCTGCGCCACTGGGCCAGCCCCTAAACAGACTTTTTTTTAACCAACATATTTTCAGAATACTGGACAAATATTTTCTAAATTTTTCCTGAAATAGATTATCGCAGGTACTTATTTCCTTCACAATTTCAGGTGAATTCTTTTCTAATTTTCTTTTCTCTTTAGTCATCCTTTAATAAGAAAAAAATTTATTTAGACCTTCTATCTTTCCAGTAGATTTCAAATATAGAGCTTACTAGAATTGAAGGGAATTTAAAAAAAAAAAAAAAGGAAAGGAAGGATTAGCCTCATGACTGGTTACAGTAAATGTGATTGAAAAGATCCAAGATCACTCTCATTCAGCTACCAGACTCCAGAAGTCAGACCGGGGAGCCCCCTGGCTGAGTCTCTGTGAGACGTAGACGCCACCGCTGCTGTAACTGCAGATAACGGGCCAAGTGAGCTCTGCACTCGAAGCAACTTATCCAGTCCCTTCCTGGAGACGGACTTGAAGAAACACGAGGGCATCCAGTTTCTGCAGGAATCGGAGGAGAAGAGTCAGCATCAAGAGAAGAGAAAACATATCCAATCCTCACATTGTGCGCCTTAAACTTATATAGTGCTGTGTGTCAGTTATATCTCAATAAAACTGGGAAAAATAAAACGAACTTTAAAAAATAATAAATAAATGTTTAAGAGAGCAAAGGAAAAAAAAGAGGCCATAAGAAGGGAAGCCTGAGGACAGGAAAGACGAGCTTTGCTCCCCTCACAGTCTGGTCCATTGGAGTGTTCCAGCAAAGTCTCCAGTTCTTTTAAAAGTTAGGTGAAGGTCCCACCATTTCTAAATTGAATTAGCCATTCCAGAAAGAACTCTGAGAAGGAAGGAAAGTGATGCTTTTGATTTTCTCTACATGCATTAAAACTTAAAAAGGGAAAGGCTAAGAAAGAAAATTCTCATTGTCCAAATGATTCTTCGATAGATTCCCTAGATGTAAGGTTTTCAAGTATTTACCAGACGCTCAAGTTAATGTATGACTGTGCAGATGTCTGCCAACGTAGGAAATCATGGTTATAGCATAACTATCCTTTAATTAATATTTTGCAAGACTTTCTTACATGTTGTCTTCGATGGTGATCTCTGTTTCTATAAATGTTGTAGGCCCACATTTTGTGGCTATTCCTTCTATAAGCTTCCATTTCAGTCATTTTGAGTAAAAGCTTACATGTGATCAAACAGACATCTGGCACCTTTATAAAATTAACTAAATTGCTTTTGAATATATATTTGAGGAATAGATTCCTGTACAAATAGATTTAACACATTTGTGCACTGTAACTAGAAATGCCAAGTGTATCCTTTTGAGAAAAATCTCAGTACAACAAAACTGAGAAGCCATCCAGATGGATTTGCTTGCTGGTGTTACCATCAAACCTTTATTTTGGTTTGTCTTCTAGATTGGGGTGAAGGAGATGATGCTTTGTTGTTGAGTGGGAAAAAATGTGACGGGAGCCTTTATATCTCCTTCTATAGATTCTTTACAGAATAAAAGAAAAATGTCAGCTTTCCTTGAGACAAGATAAAGAGAAAAATCAAGAGATCCACCTGTCACCCATCACGTTACAACCAGCGCAGTCCGAGGCAAAGGCGGTCGGCAGCATGGTCCAGCATGAGCAGCTCCCAAAGGTACTGAATGTGGTCGTGGACCCTCAAGGCCGATACGCTCCTGAGATCAAAGCTGCCACCTCGGTCTGCCCTTCTCCTTTCAAAATGAAGCCCATAGGACTGCAGGAGAGGTAAGTGCGTTTCTGTACCCACTATGTGTTGCTTTTTTGTTTCTGGAGGATTCACCAGCTGAAAAGGACAGACCTAGAGAGGATTGGCAGATTGCGTAGAAGTGTTCATCACCTAATGGACACCAGGAGGAGGAGGTCTTTCTTGACCCCAAGAAAGCTGTGTTACCAAAAGTCTTTTAGTTATATCTGATTCTGTTAAGCTGGCGTAGACCCAAATCCAGGTCTTCTTGAGCTACCGGACAGCTTCTACCGTCATTTATTGAGTGGTTTTTGAGGGTCACTGACCTAACAGCACTATCTTGTTTACTTGTCATCAAAACTCCGGTAGACAGAAGGCCTGGGAATGAACTTAGGCTGTTTGTCACCCAAGACCATATTGTTTGGAGTAAGGTAGAAACAGTCTATGCCACAAAATAATCTTTTTAATAAAGTTTTCCCTCTGCTTCCTTTGAGAGAAACAAACAGTAAATAACTGAAGACCCACGAGGTTATTTTTGTTGCCTCACACGCCTTTGTGATGTGCTTACACTGATTCATTCCCATTTAAAGCAAATCCAACATATGAAAAGAAGGGCATGCAAAATACATACAGGAGAATAAAGCTTTATTATAGCTTATATTAAAAGCTTATATTTATTATAGCTTATATTATAGCTTTGCTATTATAAAGCTTATATTAAGTAAAGCTTTCCCATGGTATGTCTTAAAATAAGCTTCATGTTTATATTTACAATATGATTGATATTATATCCAACATGACACGCCAGGGTAGTGGGGGAACTGAGAGGTTCTCAAGGTTCATTCTCCTCTTATTTTCCTATATCTCCATTTTCTTTTGCTGTCCTTTTTGTTGCCTTAGGTTTTTAGATCACATATGTAAATTTTGATTATATTTCCCTTCACACGCACACACACAACATCCTTTCAGAAAATACAATTTGGGGCTTTAAGAACTGCAGAGACCAAGTTGGTCCTTCAAATTTGTTTGAAAGTATTGTCAAAGAACAATGAATGATGTGAAAAGAAAGGGATCTGTTGTAGAGATCTCCAAAGTCTTGTGAAGGGAGAACACTGACCCCAAAACAGAAGGAAAATGAGAGCAGTAGAGTCATTCTTTCTAACTCCTCCCCCCAAAGACTTGGCTTCCTGACGGATCCGAGTGGGTCTCTGGGTACCATTCTCTTCCTCAGACACCACTAACTTGCCGTCTGGGCTGCAGTCTGGAAAGGCAGACAGGCTGAAAGTCTCCTCTGAGGCTAACGAGGCATCACGAGGCCTGGATTCCAGACCCAGCTCTGCCATTTCTGGATTGAGTGGGTCCATGAGTCATTCACCTATCTGGGCCTCGCTTTCTTCTGTAACACGAACGGGTTAAACCCTTGAAGCAGGCATTGGAGCGTGGGTGGAGTGGCATGGGCACGGGGGCGGAAAAGATCTGCTCGGATGAAGGCAGTAAGGGGTCATTTTCTATAGACAGTTTAAAGATGATAATAAAACTGACTAAAAGTCAGACTAATTTTTGTTGTCATCATGCAGCACAATTCTAAGCAAGGTCAGCGGCTCAGTCCTCCAGGGCGGACGTATTCCCAGCATCCTGCCCCTTGAAGGCCACTGCTGGGCACGTGGGAATTTCAAGGAGCATAAGGTTAAAGATCCGTTTATTCATTTCAGCGAAGCGAGTGTTTGAGAAGGGAGGGTGCAGGGATGGTGTCTCGCTCATCTTCGTGGTCCACATGGAGGCACTGGCAGAGCGAGGGTGTAATCAGTGTTAAATGGGTTCCCTGGGCCCTGGTCTGCTGACTTCCCTGCATCCCCATCCATATCCTCCCACCGCCTTCCCACCTCAGAGCAGGAGGAAGCTATTTTCTCCACAAGGGCTCCGGGTCATTCCCTCCCCACCCTGATAACCCTCCATCAGTTTTCCTTCTCTGTTTTCAGCTGTACCCTCTTTGCTGATGCTGTCTCCTCAGCACAGAAACAGGTTCTGTTTTGTATCCTTGACTCAATTCCTCCTCTGGTTCTTGTCTCGCTTTCCTTTCCCAGGTGTGTCTTAAATGAGCAGAGCATATTTGTTACCTCATTGGTCTTCTTCAAGCTTGCATCCTCCCCACTCCTCTCACGTGTGCTTGCCAAGTTTATCAGTGGTCTAACCGCCAACTCCAAAGCACGTGTCCTGTTTCTTTTCATATCCAGCACTAGTGCCTACGTCTTGTGAGAAACTCTCTCTTCCTTTGGCCTCCAAGACATTACTTTTCCAGTTCTTGGGGGCTACCTTTGGGTCCCACACAGACGCCTTCAGAGTTTCATCAGAGAGTAGACTCAGCTGGAGGCACTTCTGTAAGAATCATCTGTGTAAAAGGTAGTAAGAGAAGACGCACCTGTGGTTGGATTGCCCAGGGTGGAGAGAGGAGGAGTGGGAGTGAGGAAGGAAAGGATACAGAGAGGGAAATTAAAGCACCGCTTCCTCTCGGAAGCCATCCCAAGCTCCCTGGGCCCCGTCCCCTTCCTCCTCTAGCCTGCCCCACCATCCCAGACACAGCTGCCTCTCTGTGCCCCCTCTCCTCCAGTCCCACAGCCTGTGTGCAGACAGCATTCGTAGACTTCTCAGGTGTAGGTAAAATGTCCACTTACTATCTCACCCCATAGACTCTAAGCTTCTCGAGGGCACACATATGATTTAATCGCCTCTTACGTACAGAACATAACTCCTGCAAGGCAAGGGCTCCTGAAATGGATGCTTGAGTGAGTGAACGTTATACTGAGTGGTTCCCAGGTCAGCTCCCAGTGGTCGTAGGGACACACTGCTCGTTCCACCATCCTTTCCTCTTCTGTTCTTACCCCATTTTTCTACCATAATTCCCTGCCAAGATGGCATAGGGGCGAGTTTTGAGAGTGATAAATAAGGATATATGGTGTTCCACGCAGTCACGAAACTTTTCTGAGAGTTTTAAGCCTTAAAACTTAATTTAGGTTCATGTATCCTAATGGCACGTTTAAAATAGCCTTCTGTTTTACAGCCCTCCATCCCGATCCTGGAGTAAAATGACAATTCTCTGTTTATTGCATGGAAGTCTGGCTTCATTAAAGTCACCATGAGACCATAAAAGGCTGTAGTACAAGTTACTTGTCCCAAAAATCTTTTGGGTCGTGTCATATGGAGCTCTCAGCCCTGATGGGGAGACTCTATTACTCTGACATTATTAATGATAAAATATAATTTAAAATTTAAAATAAATAAAATAAAATATGGAAATAAATGCATATGCTTAACTGAGTACAAAGGCTACACCCTGTAAATTATGAGGGTAAGTCTTGAGTTCCCTCTTCTTTTCTCATCTCCAACCAGCCGCCAGATCTGGTGACCCGGCTGCTCTGACCTCCTCATCATCGATTCTCTCTTTTTGTAGCCATCGCCCTGGACCCAGCTCGTATTATTTCATATTTGAATTTCCGCATTTTATGACTGTAAAGATGATGTCAGGACTAGTATGTGTTACATATCTCGCATAAATTATTTCGTCAGCCTAGCTGCCTGATCTAATTCCCTGCCCAGACTGATCTTGCTGGAACAGCACTTGCACTCTGAACTTTGCTGTGTGAAAATGCCCCGTGGTTCCCTTTGGCTCCACCTTGCTGGGCCTTCGTGTCCTCTGTGCCTGGCCCTGACCGTTCCTTCCAGTCTGTTCTCCCGCGTGCTGTGTTCCTGCCCCCATTTGCGTCTTTGTTCACCGGGTCCCTCTTTGTCCTCCTCTCCACCCCTAGTCTCCAAAGCCCAGCACAAAACTTACCTCCAACCGTTGGCCGTGACACCGATCCATGTCCACAGTGACTTCTGACCCCTCTGGATGCTCTCACAGATGCTCCTCCTGCAGTGACTTTAAAGAATAATTCCGAGAGGGACTGAAACTGGCTTTTGAGTGGTCTGTCCTGTCCCTCAACCAGCTTGTAAGAAGCTCAAGGACACGCACAGGCTCAAGATGCTCTTGGGTCTCCCCTGCTTCCTGTACGTGGTAAACACTCAAAAATATGACGGAGTTAACTGATTAATTAATGTTCCTTACATCTGGGGACCTAATATCTTTCTGAAGAATCTTCCATAAGAACAAGTAGCCTAATGAGAAACTACAAGCTGAGTCTCTGGTTAATATGACTTCTGACATTTACTAAGCGGCTCAACAGGGTAGCTAACTAGTCGTTTGTGGTGTAGTTTTCCCAATCTACAAAATATGTATGAGAATCCCTGTTCTACCTCTTTCCAAAGGATGCCATAAACCCCACAGTCGACGTAAACCGCACTGTGCCCTTGAGAGGCAGAAGAATCCAGGTGCTTTGTTCTGTTTGTTCTGTTCTCTGATTTCATTCCTCAAGCTTAGACTAAGTCAGTTATATCTTTGAACTCAGGAAAGTGGAAGCTTTCCTTTTACTGAATTGATAAGGCTGAACCTGCCATTTGACATCATAAATATTTTTTAAACTGTCAATTGACTTATAGTTTTTCTCATCCTACTTATAAATATACATTTATAAATTTGGCCATTTAATGTTATTTAACAAATATCAGTATCAAATGAAATCCATTCTCATGTAAAAATGAATTCATTTCCCGTGGTGAGTCCATGAACTGGGAGGTGCGTTCACACCTGCCCACACACGCCACAGGCACAGTGTGTTCACCGGCAAGAGGAGAATGGCATGTGCCCTGCGTGGCTCTGAGACAGTCAAGCTGGGTGTCACATGACTGGCACAGCATGAGGCCGTAGTGAGCTCCTGTTCCCCCTCCTGCGAATCCCCCACTGTCCTTCTCAAGGACACTGCACACAGGCCCAGTGAACAGAGGCCACAGTCAGACCCTGGAATGAGGGTTTTCTTCAGTCGTAAGGCAGAGAACTTGCAAACATGAGTGTCTGCAGGTTCCCCTTCAGTCTCTGTATGACTAACTGCCAACTGCACACAGGCAAATGGGAGGATTCACATGATTTCCTCATTTTCCTCATTTGATT